CTGCCCTTCACTACCCAAAGGAGTCTCAGAGCGGCTTGCAAACTCCTTTCCTTTCCCCTCCCCAAAACACACACCCTGTGAGGTAGGTGGAGCTGAGAGAGCTCTGAGAGAAGAAGAAGAGATGGGATTTCTACCCCACCCTTCACTACCCAAAGGAGTCTCAGAGCGGCTCACAAACTCCTTTCCCTTCCCCTCCCCACAACAGACACCCTGTGAGGTAGGCGGGGCTGAGAGAGCTCTGACAGAAACTGCTCTTTTCCAAGAACAGCTCTGACAGAACTATGGCTTGCCCAAGCAGGTGCAAGTGGAGGAGTGGGGAATAAAACCCACTTCTCCCAGATTAGAGTCCGCGCACTTAACCCCTACACCAAACTGGCGCACTTGACCCCTACACCAAAAAGTAGATTCTGAGAGCTTTGTAGACGTTACCTCAGACTACCTCGAACAATTATTTACATGAAGAACCGTTCCTAAAGCAGCGTGCGTGTCTGAGAATCAAACCTGGGGCATCCGTTTTTGAATATTCTCTTCCAGCTAAACGTTAAATTCCCTTTTGTCATGGAGCCATATAATTGTCTCCCGCTACACCCCCCAGGGAGTGGAACGCTGCTCTGTGCATTATAGCCTTCCATTTGCCATTGAGAAGTGACAGGGATGTTACGGAGAGCCCTGCTGAAGCAGTGGGCCACGGGGCGGTTGGCCCTCTTGTGCTGACTGCGTAAAGCTTTCCATTTAATCACAGACAATGGCTCTTCCCATTCTTAAAGTTAAAGCCCCAAATGTTTGCACAGTAGGTGCCATGCGATTGGGGGGGGCGGGTTGCTGCCTGAGGCTGGAGGTTCTGCAGGAATTCTATTTCTATGTCTGTTTCAGAAATAGAAGCAGGTCGTACTTAGAAATGCAAGGTGCATCTACTGTGCATTAGTTGCATTTTCCTGTTTCCGTCTCCCTGGACTGCAGCGGTTCTCATTGGGGGTGGTTTCTAAGCCGCAGGAGTTTCTATTGTAGCATTATGCTAGCGCTCCTGGCAGAATATAAAAACATTCTTTGCTGCCGTCTTCCTTCCTCTGCATTCTCTGCATTCCTGGTTTTGCCACAGCAACAGCCCGTAAACCCTCTGCCTTGGAGACAGGTGAAATATTACAGTCTCTGATATTCAGCCCAGGTGCCGCTGATAAAAGAGAGTACAACTGTGGTTGAAAGGCATATAAGCTTGCACTGTCTCTACAGCAAATACCCTCCTTTGGGTATGCCAGTTTGGTGTAGTGGAGAGCCAGTGTGGTGTGCGGACTCTAATCTGATTTCCCACTCCTCGACGTGCGGCTGCTGGTGTGACCTTGGGCAAGTCATAGTTCCATCAGAGCTGTTCTTGAAAAAGAGCCGTTTCTGTCAGAGCTCTCTCAGCCCCACCTGCCTCACAGGGTAGGAGGAGGAGGAGAAGAAGAGAGAAGAAGGAGAAGAGGAGATTGGATTTATACCCCGCCCTTCACTACCCAAGGGAGTCTCAGAGCAGTTTACAATCTCCTTTCCCAGTTTGTAAACTGCTCTGAGACTCCCTTGGGTAGTGAAGGGCGGGGTATAAATCCAATCTCCTCTTCTCCTTCTTCTCTCTTCTTCTCCTCCTCCTCCTCCTCACCACCACAACTTGCTGACTTCAGCTGCCAGCTTTTATCTGGTGGTGTTTTTTGGTTTTTTTACAGAAGTTTCAATAGATTTTTGGTGACATCTTTTTGATATATACAGTTTGTGTTTGCATTGACTTTATTCCACATTTCTACCTAGTAGAGATTCAGAGCAACATAGAACATTGTTCCTCCTCTTCTGCGTTGCCCTTCACTACCCAAGGGAGTCTCAGAGCGGTTTACATACTCCTTTCCCTGTGATTGGCCCTCTGTCACCAAGCGAGTTTCCATGGTAGAATTGGGAATAAAGACCTGGGTCTCCCAGGATCCTAGCCTTGCACTCTGTCCGCTATGTTGCTGGGAATGGCAAAATTTTCTCCTGAAAAGAGAGGAGTTCTAGTTCAGGCCACATATGCTTTGCCCAGGGGCTGCAAAAACAAGTCCTGGAGAGAGGTCAGGCATCTGCTTGGTATGCAGAAGTTCCCAGGTTCAGTTCCCGGCATTTCCAGTTAAAAGGATCGGGCACTAGATGATGCGTAAGACCTGAGACCTTGGAGAGCTGCCACCAGTCTGAGTAACCAATACTGACCTTGCTGGACCAAGAGTCTGGTTCAGGAGAAGCCAGCTTCATGTGTTCAGGTCTCTACAGGATATTGAGTTGCTGCAGTTCGAAATCTGGAGTTTTGTGAGCATCAGGCCCAGAGTTGTCATCCACCTAGCACAGGTCGTGACCCTGTTGCCTGCCTGCCCATCATTCTGTTGTTGCTAGGCCCAAATCCCGATTTCCTGCGCTGCTCCTCCAGGGAGCTCTTAGAGCTGTAGCTGTCCACTTTATGTGGGAGGCAGGAACTGAAATATGTTAGTGCCCTTCTGGGTGGGAGGAATCTGAAGCCACTGCATCCTGCACTGTTGAAGCACAACTCCTGTGTCCTCCACTCTGTAGGGAATTTTTTAGGGAAATGTTTCAGCTCCTGGTATGCATGTTTTGAAAACAGCCTCTGCGCTCAGTTGTGTCCTGTGATCTTTACTGAGAGCAAGTTCCCCGCTCTTGGCTTGAGACCACTGCTCTTGCTCAGTTAATACCCCTGTGTTAAATCTTAATTTATCCCCTGCCTGTATCCACAATGTGAAGGTGGCGGTGGCTACAAGGGGGTCAACAGTGTGTGGGGGCTTCTAGTGTCCTGGTCCCACCGCTGGACCCCTGATGGCCCCTAGTATTTTTGGCCACTGTGTGACACAGAGTGTTGGACTGGAGGGGCCACTGGCCTGATCCAACATTGGCTTCTCTTATGTTCTTATACGGAGCAGAGGTCCATCATGGGCTCTTAGCCACATGGTATAGATAGGAACTCTCGGTTTGGGGCAAGGGATGCTCTGTATTCTTGGTGCTTGGGGGGGCAAGAGTGGGAGGGCTTCTAGCGTCCTGGCCCCACTGCTGGACCTCCTGATGGCACCTGGTGTTTTTGGCCACTGTGTGACAGAGTGTTGGACTGGATGAGCCATTGGCCTGATCCAACATTGGCTTCTCTTATGTTCTTACAGGAACTCTTGGTCGGGGGAAAGGGATGCTCTGTATTCTTGGTGCTGGGGGGGGCAACAGTGTGTGTGTGGGTTCTAGTGTCCTGGCCCCACTGCTGGACCTCCTGGAGGCACCTGGTGTTTTTGGCCACTGTGTGACAGAGTGTTGGACTGGATGAGCCATTGGCCTTATCCAACATTGGCTTCTCTTATGTTCTTACAGGAACTCTCGGTCTGGGGCAAGGGATGCTCTGT